CATTTTCAGCTTCATTGATTGGTCGACAGAATCGAGACTCATCAGATCAGAGTGTGAGAAGGTGGATTTAACACACCGTCTGTGTGTGTCTGTCTCTGTGTGTGTGTGTCTGTCTGTGTGTGTGTGTGTTTGTCTGTGTGTGTTTGTCTGTGTGTGTGTGTGTGTGTATGTGTATGTATGTGTGTGTGTGTGTGTGTGTGTGTGTGTGTGTGTGTGTCTGTGTGTGTTTGTCTGTGTGTGTGTGTGTTCTCTCTCTCTCCCTCACCCACTCGGCAGTGTCTATATTTCCTTGCCCCCCCCTGCTGTTCGCTCAGGTGATCTCTCTCTCTCTCTCTCTCTCTCTCTCTCTCTCACACACACACACAGGCAGAGCAGGTTGGTTGTATCAGTGTGAGGCGGCGAGCTGCAGGAGGAGGACGCAGCATCAGCTGCTCTGAGGGATTATTTCACCTGGATTATTGATTATTATGATTTGGTCTCACCTGTCAGAGGATCGGGATTATTGATTATTGATTATTGATTATTATGATTTGGTCTCACCTGTCAGAGGATCGGGATTATTGATTATTGATTATTGATTATTATGAAATGGTCTCACCTGTCAGAGGATCGGGATTATGACCTCACTGCACACCTGGATTATATTTACTCCTTTATCGGATCAAACCTGCCCGCTCAGCTGAGGTCCTGACACCTTCGGTTTGGATCTGTGGCGCTTTATCGAACTACAGCCTCTGATTGGTCGCTGTAACCCCAGTTCAATATCAAGGTTTGATCTGATTGGTTCATTTTTTTCTCTGACCTCAGAATAATAGTGACGATCTTCTTCTACGTTTTTCATTCAGTGTTCAATTTTGAGGGTCTCAGTCTGGGTTCAAGATTCCTGCTACTTCATCACACCGTACTGCTTGCTAGCTGTGTTGTAGGCTGATGCAACAATACCAGTAAACCAGTCGGAAAACAACGCCGACTTTTGTAACGTTTAGCTGTTGTTAGCATTGTTCACCATTGTTAGCCATGGTTAGCCGTTAAAACTAGCGTATAACATGATATTTTGCTTGTACAAGAGCTCCTGATGTAGCTCTTCTGTCGTAGTACATCACAGTACATCGTAGTAAAGTCCCCCCGGGTGAATTCATCACCAGAGTCTGACATCAGTGTAGCGATAATTAGCTGTAGTTTCATTAGCGAACTCATCATAACGAGCGATTTTAAAACACAAACACTTGAAAACATCGTTAATATTTACGAGCGAAGGATAGACGATCGATGTGTCATTACGATCAAAATCTTACCTCTGGTTTTTAAGTGAGGTCTGGGTTCAGGGCTGCGGACCACTTTAGTCCCGCCCCTTGACCTCATGGAGAACCAGGATTGGTTAGTGTCTGTGGATCTGATGGTCGGCTCTCCTGATTGGTTCAGACTGTCGTGATCAAGATCAGATCTAACCTCCAGATCCTGATCATCAACCAATCACCATCATCCTGTGTGTGTGTGTGTGTGTGTGTGTATGTGTCTGTGTGTGTGTGTGTGTGTGAGTGTGTGTCTGTGTGTGTATGAGTGTGTATGTGTGTGTGTGAGTGTGTGTGTCTGCAGCACCTGCACACAGTGAACACAGGATCCAGAGTTTAGTCTGATCCCTGTCTCTCATACCTTCAGATCCTGACAACCTGCCCCCCCCCAACCCGAACCAATCACCATCATCCTGTGTGTTTGTGTGTGTGTGTGTGTGTGTATGCAGAAAAATGTGGAGCAGAGATGACGACACTGTGGGGGTGAGGAGGGGTGAGGAGGGGTGAGGAGGGGGATTAATGTGTCTTTTGTAAAACACTCGTGGGGGGGGTGTTCGCTCGGACACAAAGAGGAGACATCAGCAGGTCAACATCAAGCTGATCGCTGCGCACACACACACACACACACACACACACACACACACACACACACACACACACACACACACACACACACACACACATACACACACACACACACATACACACACACACACACACACACACACACACACACATCATTAACAGGGAATAAAGTTAGTCTGTGTCTGTGTGTGTGTGTGTGTGTGTGTGTGTGTATGTGTGTGTGTGTGTGTGTGTGTGTGTGTGTGTGTGTGTGTGTGTGTGTATGTGTGTGTGTGTGTGTGTGTGTGTTGCCCCCGGCGACATCTGTCTCTTCATGGTCATGTGACCTCAGAAGCCTGAATGACTTTTGTTTTGGGGGAGGGGGCGTCTGCCTGCTATCAACCAATCAGAACACAGACAGACTCCAACAACCTGCTGCTCCGAAGTGACGGACCGCCGTAAAGATTTAAGGGGGGGGGGGTTTAACGACAGCAGGTGATTGGTCAGAGTCGGGCTGGGCGATAAAACGATAACGATCAAACATTAATTTCCCTGTTTCTTCTTCACTACAGACCAAAAGTTTGGAGGCACGGCCGTTTCAGGACGAACAGTCGGAGTAACTTCAAGTTTTTGTTCACAGTCTTTTTTTAACTCCAGTTTGATGTATTTTGGGATGTATTTGATCAGATGTTGTTTCCATGGAAACGCACCATTTTACTCCATTTACCTTTAGATATACATCGATGTTAACAGACCATTGCTAAATATTTGTCAGCTAAAGATAATAAGGGCTTAGTTTTAGGGTCGAAAACATTTGCAAGAGTCACAAAAAAACAACAAATCACAGTTGGATTATTCACTTCAACGTTTTGTCTTTTGAGAGTCTGCAGACAAAAATCCTAATAAATCTAAACTGAGTTCAAACTACCGCAAAAATGACCAGAAAGAAGCAACTGAGTAAAGAAACAAAAGTACAGATTTGTACATCGAGGAAAGAAGGAAACACAGAAAGAGAAAAAGAGATATGAGTGGACAAAAGCTCACAAAAACTGGACTAATGATGATAGAAACAAGTTTGAACTGTTTGGTTCCAAACTCAGAGTCTATGTCCGCAGACAAACTGGTGAAGGTCTGAAAGCTCCATGTGTTACACCCACAATTCAGCATGGAGGTGGTAGTTCATGGTATGGGGATGTTTATCAGGTGATGGAGGAGGAGATTTGTTTGAAGTAAAGGGTATCATGAAGAAGGAACAGTACCACTCCATCCTCCAGCACCATGCTGCTCCATCTGGACTCAGACTTGTGGCTCATAAGTTTGTTTTGCAGTAAGACAATGACCCTAAGCTCTCTGCCGAGCTCTGTCAGGGTTACCGAGACAATAAAGAAGAGGAAGGTGTTCTTCAAAAGATGGTTTGGCCCCCTCAGTCTCCAGACCTTTCTCCATCTGAGCTTGTGTGGATGAATTGGATCGATCGGTCAGAAAAACTCATCCCACGAATCAGCGTCTCTTTTTAATGAACTTAAGAAAGCTTGAATGTAATCCCTGGAACAGACCTTAGAAAACTTGGTGAACAAATGCCTGGAATATGCCGAGCTGTTGTTAAAGTCAGAGGAGGTAACTTTAAAGAAAGTCTAACAACAAAAACTCAAATACCTCAGAATTATAGTCAGAATGTCTTCAGATCAGTTACTCTTTACACAACAGTCATGGTTACTGTGTTGGAAATTATATTTATGAAACTATGATCTTTGTTTTATACTAATCTGATCTTCTTCCAAACTTTTGGCCTGTAGGGGGGGGGGGGCACACGCCTGTTTCATGTATGTGTTTATGTAACGTGTTTCCACGTTTGTGTGTCTGTAACCTGCCGAGACAAACTTCGCTCTGAGCGTCACTTCAGCAGATTTAGACGTGTGAACGCGGCGAGGCGAAGTCGACACGTCCTCTTCCTCTCAAGTCAGCCCAAAAGGCAAACAGCACAATGACCATGAGGCTGTGTGTGTGTGTGTGTGTGTGTGTGTGTGTGTGCACGGTCAGATCATATTAAACCTTCGACCACACAGCGCGGGATCACGTCTCACTTTCAGCTCTTTCTTTCCTTCTTTTCTTCTTTGTGTGTTTTTGATCAGGGCATTACTCCCCCCCCCCCCCCCCCGTCACACCTCTTATTAAAGCCTGTTTTGTCCCACGCCCTCCTCCCCCGCCCCAGCTCTTGGTATTCAGCCCAGGTCAGCAGATTTCGGCCCGGCCCACCGTGGCTCCCCCTTTTTAATTTGCACCTGTTGCGCAGTTGTCGTGGAAGGAGGGGAGGAGGGGAGGAGGGAGGAGGAGGGGAGGAGGAGGGGGAGGAGGAGGGAGAGGAGGGAGAGTGTGTGCAGACAAAGATGATATTATGAGCGGATATTCAGATAATCTGTGGGGGGGGGGTCTTGTCTGAAAATCTGAATCAGTTTTTTTCTTCGACGCGGTTTAATAATAAAGACCTCGCCTTCTTTCTTATGATGTCATCCTGCTGTCATTCAAGCCCCGCCCCCATTTCACATAAACATAAACAACTCTGTCACCATCTAAAACCCTGACGACACACACACACACACACACACACACACACACACACACACACACACACACACACTACAACTTTTTTCAGAGTTAGTTCTTGATTTTTGTTTGTTTTTGTTTGTTTTTTTTGTGTTTGTTTTTGTTTGTTTTTGTTTGTTTTTTGTTTCTTGTTTGTTTTTGTTTGTGTTTTTTGTTTCTTGTTTGTTTTTTTTGTTTCTTGTTTGTTTTTGTTTGTTTTTGTTTGTTTGTTGTTTTGTTTGTTTGTTTGTTTTTGTTTGTTTTTGTTTGTTTTTTTTGTTTCTTGTTTGTTTTTGTTTGTTTTTGTTTGTTTTTTGTTTCTTGTTTGTTTGTATTTGTTTGTTTTTGTTTCTTGTTTGTTTTTGTTTCTTGTTTGTTTTTGTTTGTTTGTTTTTGTTTGTTGTTTGTTTTCATCCTGCAGTCATTGACAGTAAAAAGTTTTAGTTTGTTTGTTTGTTTTTGTTTGTTTTTGTTTGTTTGTTTTTGTTTCTTGTTTGTTTTTGTTTGTTTGTTTGTTTTTGTTTGTTTTTGTTTCTTGTTTGTTTGTTTGTTTGTTTCTTG